AGCCAGTCATCAGGCCGTGGCACTGTGGCACTGCAGGGTGACCCCAAGCCCTCCATCCAGCTCTCTGGCCACAGAAGGGCTCCTGTTTGGGTGTCACCACCACAATCCTTCCCTAGACCAGGTCGGGAGGAGGCACTGCAGCCACTGAGGCAAAGATGCTCCTTCCCTTCCCTGGCTCCCCTGCTGCTTCCCTTCCCTGCTGATGCCCCAAATCACTCAACACGGAGAATCCCAAATATCAACAGCTATTTCCCCTGGCTCTCTAGAAGGGACTGCCAGGAAGGAAGGGAGAGAAGCCCATCACAAGGCAGCTCAACACCTGGGAATCCTCCTTATGGCTTCCCCTGCTGCCCAGAGCTGAGCTCCTGACGGCCCCTGCAAACTGCCACATACCATATCCCTTCCAAGTGACAGAAAGCAGCTTCTTGTTTCCCCACCCATGTCTGTGTCATGCATGAGAGACCATACATGAGCTAGAACACAGGTGGCTGTGCACATTTAAAACCCACACATGCACAGAGCAAAGAGGTCCACCCATGCCAGTGCCAGGAAACCCATCTCTTCGCACGAGGGAGATTTCCTGTGCAAGAACATGGCAGGGCCAAAATGTGCAAGCAAAAAAGGACCATGGAACAGCCACCAGTGCCAGGTGTGAACACCTTATTCCATGTTGAACCACATGCCTGATCCACTCACTTTTTCCCTCCTGCAGAGATCTAATTAAAATGAAAAGAAGCTGCCACTCATGACCGGCAGATCAGCCCCAGCCAGCTATGCGGTTCAATGCTGGGCATAGACTTTACTGTCAGATACTCTCTAATCAGTTGAGCTATTTTCATGCCTTTTTCTTTTTTTTTTTCCTTTTTTTTTTGGGTCATTTTTTTCAGAGCTTTGCTCCCCTGGCAGACTTCTGCTGGGCTCCTGGACAAATCATTCACACCACAGTCAGAGCATGCCACAGACAGAGGATTTTCACTGGAGTTCAATGTAATTGCTAGCATTTATCACTTTAATAGCCTAATGAAGGTGAGATGTAATTAGAAAGGGTGTCAACCGGAATATGGAGTTTGTTTTACAATTATCTATACAGTGGGCAACCACTGGCACAGAACAGTGCCTTTTAAAAAGCTGGTAATATGTGGCATAAATGTTCATCACCGGGTGACTTAGAGTGATCTAAAGCCACCTTCTGTAATTGCTGCCTTTCTTCCTAAAGGCTTGAAACAAACACAAAAAGGTTGAACCCCTCCCAAGGCAGTTTTTCCAACCAATGAAGATGGTTTATGTCTATGCAACTGAGCCCGCATAACTGTCACCTCAACATCATTCCTACTTGCAGAGTGATCAGCAGTGATTTTGCTTGAGTGATTTTTGTCTGTGTAAGCAAGCTCAAATGAATGCAACAATAATCAGAACTCCCAGCAGGGCCATTGCCATTGCAAAAAAAAAAAAAAAAGGCCCCAGAAGCACATACAGAGCCTTCTCATCACGCACACACATACACACACACTTAAAAAAAAAAAGAAATCACTGGGAACTAAAAGCAACCCAGGGAGCTGCATTTCTCTCTGTTTTACTCAAAAGTGTGTTAGTACTCAGGGTGAGTTTTATGCAGTTGGCAGGATGGCTGACCCTTATTTAAGGCAGAATGTCTTAAAGCATGAAGAACACCTCTCCTGGATCTCCTGCTGCTAAATAGATACCAAGGTTTGTTGCTTGATGGATATTGTGCAGTAAAGTAATGATGGCTGATGGTGCTGTTGGCAGACAGTTTAATGCTGAGTGGGAGACTGGAGATTGAGACAGTCAGAAGCCTCCTGAGCTCATCAACCACAGTACAAAGTATGACACTCCTTAAAGATCTAGTCTTGTTTCTGAATAGGAAAGTGTAGTTTTGATTTGTATAATCTCTTGAGGGCTGGTCAGATTACAGGAAGAATGATTACTTCAGCGAAGCAAGCCTTTCCCTCTTTCTACAGAATGGAAGCACAGACTTCGGTACTTGGCTGATATCATGAGTGTACTCACTATATTAGTGGTAGCTTTCTAGTACTTGGCTAATATCATGAGTGTACTCACTATATTAGTGGTAGCTTTCTCCAGATGTTATAGCTATGGGATTAATAACCTGTTATACTCCCATCCTTCTGACATGATCTCAAATGGATTTTAATTTAGTGCGGAAGACTGACAAGATGTAATCTTAAAAATTATAGCTCACAAAAGCAACAGTGAAGATGTAGCCTGGAGCCGTAATGGTTCGAGCTGTGCCCAGCCCTGTTGTAAGACAAAAGCAGAGAGTTTCATGTATTGCCTGGGATGTTTCCATCTAGTGTACCCTGACAGGGTTCCCTCAGGTTTTGCAAACCCACAACTGGCTTTGCATAGAGCCTCTCCATTGCAGGTGCAGCAGTGGGTTAGATGGGGTAGATTTCTAAAGCACTCCCAGATAACCCCAGCAGTGTCACTAGCTACTTATCAGGTCACTGTTTGATGTTTTCGCCAGATGGTAGGAAGCACTCAGATCTTCCAGAAGTATCAAACCTAATAGCTATGAACTGAACCCCTTTCTGCATTAGGTGATCAGCTAAAGTGCTTTGGAAGAGAGTGGTCACACTCTATCAGTCTGCCTCCTGATACATGGTCCCAGTCTGGTCTTCATTTCCCAACCTAAACAATGTGCATATCACTTCCAGGTGGTGCTTACCGTCATGATGGCACATAAACTGAGTTTATGAAACTCCTCAAAATTCAGGTTGAGACCTGATTCCAGCTTTCCTGTACTTTGTGCAGCCACCTGAAGTTACACAAAGAGGACATAAAAAAATGACCATTTCAGAGAGGTGCCATTCTGCAGTTACCTTGTAGGGTTTTTGGTGCCTTCACAAAGAAGAGGTAATAGCTCAGATGTTCCCTTGTGGTCAGGTGAACACAGCTCTTTGATGTTCTCAGAAGAAGGTCTTTCTGCTTACAGTTACATTGCAGCAGACAAGTGAATTTACTACTTGGGGATTGTGTATTTAATTCCTACATGGACATCCCATGTAGAAATCAGCGCAGGGTAGAATCAGCATAGTGTGCCCCAACAGGTGGGATTTTACTATAATGTAGAGGCCCTATGATGACAGTCATGGCTCAGAGAAAGTAATGCTGCTAATTGCAGCAATTAAGCAGTAATGGCATAATTAATGCAAAAATTATGCATGGCTTGAATCCAAGCTTTTGGCGTGCAAGAGGTATTCATCACGCCTAGATGAAAATCATTCCTGTTGAGATGATATCATATCTGCTTTTATGACTTGACCAGGGATAATGGTTACAGGGAATTCAGGGAGCAGTGACAGGCTATGT